TTTCGCATTACGACGTTTTCGTTCTACAGCGATTACACTGGAACGGATTAACATCGTAATGCGAGGCACCACTGTACTTACGAAGAATAAGATCTCCACCTCAAATGAAACTCTTCCCACACTTGATACAGTTATATGAGTTCTCCCTTGCATGAATCCTTTGGTGGTGGGTTAGGTGGTAATTCTGAATGCCTTTCCACAGTCCAGTTATGTGATTCCTCCCCTGTGTGAGTTCTTTCATGGGAGCTGGTTTAAGTTTCTGGCTGTAAAGCCAGAGTTCAGAGTCTGATTCTTCACTATGCCTCATGCATAGGATCAGTCTGTGTGGCCTTGGGCAACCTGCCCGGTCCAAAATTATCATCAGAAGAAACCACTATTGAGCAGAGCTGGGCACAGAACCGCTGGTTCAAAGTTCTGCCTCCACCATCGAGCAGCCACTCAGAGGCCATGCCCTGGCTTCCCTGCCCCACCTCCTCTGGGCACTGCCCCTCAGTGGGTGACCACCAGAGGAGGCAGGACTTTGAAATGCCAAACTCACCTGTTTGGCTGAGAAAAGAACCAGCATGAACCGCTGAACCAGCTGTTTAAGTCCATCTATCCTTCTGAATGTTCTCTACCTAAAAAAACATTGAAAATGGTCACCATCAATCAGAACTGACTTGATCAAACAGGATTATTATTATAAAAGTAATTATATGTATTGAATCCCTTTCCATGTCCCAGACATTTGTTGAGTGTGAATTCTTCCACAGAAAAGAACACCTTGTTTTCTGACAGTCTTACCACACTCAGGTTATTCAAACAGTTTCTCTCCTGTGTGGGTTCTGTTGTGTGCAGCGAGGCTTGCATGGCGAGTGAAACATTTTCCACACAACAAAAACTTAAACATCAAAGTACCATATTTTTCCATTTACAACATGCCCCCATGAGTGTGTCCCAGGACCGCGTGCCGTCTATCTCTGGCCCTAATATGGTAAATAGGAAAGCCAATTAGATTTGCATAGACCTGGGAGGCAGGAAAGTTTTAACAGTCGGATCATACTTCCGCACTATTAAAGAGCAGGCCGGGTAGGTGGGTCGCGTCAGCCATGGAAGGCAACCCATCTAGGAGAAGGAAACCTCTGATTTCAAACCTCCACTGCCTTGCGGCTATAGCCACTCATGGAAAAGGCTTCAGGAGTTAACCTAGAGGCAAAATCCGGAGCTGGAGTCCCGAAGGCAGTTTGTGTCCTGCGACGTTGCTGGAACCAGCTGTACTGGCTCTTGCCTTTCCATTGGACCATTTCAGCAATGTGGAGAGGGGGGATCTGCTGCTTTGGTACTAGCCTATCCTCCATATTACTTTACCCAGGTTTCATGCTCTGGAGAGGACACTCCTCGATTCGGCGCATGTTATCATAGTCTCTTGAGACTGAAGGATGCCTATGCTATGCCCCCATTTATAAGAACCCCCCCTTCTAACCCTCAAAAATTAAGAAAACTTAGTTTTGAGGATTCAACCACTGGGCTCAGAACGGTGGACATTTTGAGTCCTGTTGAATCTGAGCCTACAGGCTCCACTTCCAACAAGGTGTGTTCCAATTGGTTTGTTCAGCATCAGCTGACGTCAGTTCCATAAGGCTTGTGATTGGAGGAAGTCTGTTTACTGAGGCAAGGCATGTGCCATTTTGTCTCCTCAGTTATCTCAGCTTACTTCCATGTAAAAGACACCCCTCAATTTTAGTGTAATGGTTTTAGGAAAAAGTAGTGTCTTATGCAAAGAAAAATACAGTAAATTCTTTTTTGTCTAGTAAGGGTTTTTCTCATTCCAAAGGTCTACCCACACTCAAGGCCTTCAAATGGCTTCTTGCCTGTGTGGGCCCTGTGGTGTCCCACAAGAATTTTGTATTTACTGAAACTCTTTCCACACTTCAGACATTTAAATGGTTTCACCCCTGAGTGAATTCTTTCATGGCTACTGAGACTATTTTTCGTTCTAAAACTTTTCCCACACTCCAGGCATTTAAATGGCTTCTCAATGGTGTGGGTTCTGCGGTGTTTAGCAAGGCTCCCACGATAACTGAAACTTTTCCCACACACTAGGCACTTAAATGGCTTCTCACCTGTGTGGGCCCTGTGGTGTGTAACAAGACTTTTGTATTTACTGAAACTCTTTCCACACTCCAGACATTTAAATGGTTTTTCCCCAGAATGAATTCTCTCATGGGTAGTCAGACTATTTTTCGTTCTAAAACCTTTTCCACACTCCAGGCATTCAAATGGCTTCTCGCCTGTGTGGATCCTGTGGTGCGTAGCGAAGTCTCCAAGGTGACTGAAACTCTTTCCACACTCCAGGCACGTAAAATGCTTCTCTCCTGAGTAAATCCTTTCATGGATAAGACGACTATTTTTCGTTCTAAAACCTTTTCCACACTCCAGGCATTCAAATGGCTTCTCGCCTGTGTGGATCCTGCGGTGCGCAGAAAGGCTTCCACGTTGACTGAAACTCTTACCACACTCGAGGCATTCAAAAGGCTTTTCACCTGTATGGGTCCTGTGATGTCTAGCGAGATTTACACAATGACTGAAACTCTTTCCACACTCCAGGCATTCAAATGGCTTCTCCCCTGAGTGGGTTCTGTGGTGATAAGCAAGGCCCTCACGTGCTCTGAAACTTTTCCCACACTCCAGACACTTAAATGGCTTCTCCCCGGTGTGGGACTTGTGGTGATAAGCAAGGCTCTCACGTACTCTAAAACTCTTTCCACATTCCAGACATTTAAATGGCTTTTCCCCGGAGTGAATTCTTTCGTGCGCATGAAGAATTTCCTTTCGTCCAAAGGTTTTCCCACATTCCAGACACTGAAATGGCTTCTCACTTGTGTGGGTCCTATGGTGTACAGTAAATGATCTAAGGTGACTGAAACTCTTTCCACACTCCAGGCATATAAATGGCCTCTGCCCTGAGTGAATTCTTTCGTGGATAGTAAGACTTTTTTTTATTCTAAAGGTTTTCCCACACTCTGGGCATTCAAACAGCTTCTCAGCTATGTGGATCCTGCGGTGTGTAGCAAGACTATCGCGACGACTGAAGCTCTTTCCACATTCCAGGCATTCAAATGGCTTCTCACCTGTGTGGGTCCTGTGGTGTGTAACAAGGCTCCCACTATGACTGAAGCGCTTTCCACACTCCAGGCATTCAAAGGGTCTCTCCCCTGTGTGGGTCTTTTGGTGAGAAGTAAGGCTCCCACGTTGACTGAAGCTTTTTCCACACTCCAGGCATTCAAATGGCTTCTCCCCCGAATGAATTCTTTCATGGGTTATAAGCTGTGATTTCACTCTAAAGGTTCTCCCACACTCCAGACACTGAAATGGCTTCTCACCTATGTGGGTGTCATGGTGTGCAGCAAAGTCTCTAAGGTCACTGAAATTCTTTCCACACTTCGGGCATGTATATCGCTTCTCTCCTGAGTGAACTTTTTCATGGATGGTAAGACTTTCTTTCATCCTAAAGGTTTTCCCGCTCTCCAGGGATTCAAAGGGCTTCTCATCTGTGTGGGTCTTGTGGTACCTAGGAAGACTCCACACTTCAGGCATTGAAGTGGCGTCCAAACATCCAGCTCTTTCCTCCGATGCTTGATGTCCTCCTTCTTTGTTTCTTCGCTCAGCCATTTTTCCTGCTAAAAAGAGGAAAAACAATAGTGAGCAGGAAAAAAAGATTTTATTTTCAAGTAAGAGACCTAATGAACTGCCATGGAGGATACAGGAGAATAAAATCCAGCTGTGGGGTGGAACCACCTTCAGAAACATCAGTGGGAAGGTGGATTCTGTCACCAATTAAGATGCTGATCGAAACCAAAGGCGGGATTTATCGCACAGCTCTCAGCTAGATAGAGATGGGACAAGCCATTTCACCTCTTTTGCTGATTAGCTATCTGGCTGACGTGAGACAGATTCTGATTGGTCGGAATGCATCACTATGCAAATATCACATTTTAGTCCTTCCCAAACAAACACACACACACACACGCGGAGACTCACAGATATACACATATACAGTGGCGCCTTGCATAGCGAGGTTAATCCGTTCCGGATTAACCTTCGCTATGCTGAAGCATCGTTGAACGGGGCAGGGAATTCTATTGGAACGCATTAAACATGGTTTAATGCGTTCCAAATGGGCCAAATACTCACCGTTCAGCGATGCTTCTTAATGGCCGGCAGCCATTTTCACGCCCTCGCCTCGCTTAATGAGGGTGCAAAAACGCTGCGCGCGGCCATTATGGGCCAGCGATGCTTCTTAATGGCCGGCAGCCATTTTCACGCCCTCGCCTCACTTAATGAGGGCGCAAAAACGCTGCGCGCGGCCATTTTGGGCCATTTCTGGGCTTCTGGCGGCCATTTTGGCCGCCGAACAGCTGATCGTCGGGCTTCGTTTTGCGAAGATCGGTAAGCGAAACGCTTACCGGTCTTCGCAAAGCGAATTTTGCCCTATTAGAAAAATGTTGAGCGATCGCATTAGCGATCTGAAAAAACGGATCGCTATGCGATTTCGTTGTTATACGGTGCGCTCGTTAAGCGAGGCACCACTGTATTGTGTTATATTTTCCAATACCCCTTCTCAACATGGTATGCATCTCTCCTATTTTATTCCATAACCTTTTAAAACAGTCTCTGGGAAGAGGTTTCATTAAAATGTCCACTATCATTTCAGTAGTTGATAACGCACCATTTTATTTACACCTTGTTTACAATGTTTACTCCTCACATTAATCTTTTCGCTTTTTCCCAATTTGATACAATTTGTCATATTTCAGCCCGAGCGATTCTTCTTCAATTCCAAAGTTACTCAACAATTTATTTATAGGGGAAAAGGCACCCTCCTGCCTTCTTCCGATCCATGTAAATGATTTATGAAGATGACGATGATGACCATCTGGCAGCCAGGGTCACTCTGGGCAGTTTACAACAATCCACTCAACCGAAGGGTTACCTGGAGGGAGATGCCACCGCCAACGTGGGAGAGCTGCTCACCTGTATGCTTAGCGGTGTGCTTTGCTGGAGTGCTCTCAGGCCTCAATGCAAAGAAAGCCAGCTGGGGACACCCCCGCCCTGCATCCCACCTTGATCTCCTGGCGCTTATGTTCTGTTTACCTCCCAGTAAACCAGCAGGCAAGAGGAGCTGCTCCAGAGCCTCCTGGGAGAAAGCTCACAAGAGGGGAGAGAGAAGCCTAAGCAGCCAGAGACCCTGTAGCCTTTGATTGTGTGGACCACAACAAACTATGGCAATGTATTCTCAAAGGCTTTCACGGCTGTGTTCTTAAGGTTTTTCTTCCTAACGTTTCACCAGTCTGTATGGCCAGCATCTTCAGAGGACAGGAGTCAGAACTCTGTCTGTACTCTGTTGCAGTTTGTTGGATAGTTGAGTACTGTATTTATAGCTGTGGGATCAGTTTGTGTCCTTTTCAGGAGATTGGGTGATCTGTCACTGTCACATTGAGATCCACAAACACCAGGGGAGCTTCAACAAAAAAGAAGAAAGTTTAAAACTCAACAAAGCCTGGCTCCCAGCACCCAAGGACCAGTGATCACTGCACACAAAAGACCAGCTAACAACACCCATCAATCAGAGTGACAGATAATCTCCCCCTTATCACACCAATACACCCACAACAAAAAACACGCTGATCACCATAATCACCCAATCTCGTGAAAAGGAAAAAAGCTGATCTCACAGCTATAAATATTCAACTATCCAACAAACTGCACCAGAGCACAGAGACTGGTGAAACGTCAGGAAGAACAACCTTCAGCCAAACAGCCTGGAAAACCCACAATCACCATCAGACCATAGATAAGTGAATCAGCATACACTGATCCAACAAATAAGGGGGTCCTCTCATATGTCATAGACTTTGCAATGCTGTCATTTTGTTCCCATGCTTTTTAAACTCTTAATTATGAGGCTTTCCTTTTTCCTCTACAATCACTAATTTCAGCCTGTCAACCCACTGAAATAAAAGAATAATTGAGTTGGAAGGGGCTGATAAGGCCATCAAGTCTAATCTTCTGCTCAATGCAGGAATACAAATCTGGATGTTTACTACAGAATCCTTTTTTCTGAAGTAAATCATTTTTACTTTCCTTATATAAATGGGCGACATATACTTTTGTTTACAGGGAGAAGGGAAAAAAAACTTTAGCTGCTTTTCTTTTGGTTACTTTTTCACCTCAGCAACTCTGGTTTGCCTCCGACTGTTTCCTAAGAACATTTTACCTCGGACAAGCTATAGTTTTGTCTTCCTGATAGACGCCTTTTTAGTTTTAATTCAGAATTTGTTCTGGGCTTTTAGTCTTCTGTAGGCTTTATATTTCTCGGTGTGCTTTTTATCTCCCTTTGGACTTTCTATTAATCTGAGTCACCACAGTCTGGGCCCACAATCTTCTGTTGGTTTGGTTTTTAAAAAATACAAAATGTAACTCACAGACTGCATAGTTTTGAGTGTTTTACATATAATAAAACTACTGATTTCTTGGTCTTTGGCAAAAAAACATTAAAGACCTTTACCATCAAAAATACGTATGTTGTTGTTTAGTTGTTAAGTCGTGTCCGACCCTTCGTGACCCCATGGACCAGAGCACGCCAGGCCCTCCTGTCTTCCACTGCTTATCGGAGTTGGGTCAGATTCATGTTGGTAGCTTCGATGACACTGTCCAACCATCTCGTCCTCTGTCGTCCCCTTCTCCTCTTGCCTTCACACTTTCCCAACAAAGAGTCAGGCATGACTTAACGGCTAAACAACAAAGGATTGGATCAGAGTGGGTCAGAGTTTTGGAGGAATTGTAATCCAAAAATGTCTAGAGTTCCAATTTTGGGACACCAAATAGATAAACAGGGAAAGACACTGAGTGAGATACAGCAGTACTGTAAAATCAATAACTCTGTACTCTTTATTTCCCTTACCCAAATATCAAGCCCTTCTCAATAGAAAGAAAACACTCCCTGATGCCCCCCCCCTGGAGTGGGGGAAACCCCAAATAAATGGTTTGCCCTGCTGGCTGCTTTGTATCGAAGGATTGGTTGGTTTTCTTTCTATTCCACCATGATATAACCGAAGACAGTTCAACATAGGATCTCAAACTGATTAGTTCCTTAAAAAAACAAAAACAAATTGTTATAAGATTAAGCAACAATGCAGAAACCATTAAATAGGTTTTCCCCGAATTAAAACCATTTTAGAAACACAAGGAAAGAAGTCAGCAGACAAGAAGGGGACCCTTACCAGATCTTGAGCAAGGAAATGCAACGTCAGGAGGAGAAAAAGTCACGCCTTTGTTCTGCCAGGGAGAAAAAAAGGCTTTTTGCAGACGAGATGCTGCTGGGTTCTCCCAGGAGGACGTGGCCCCCCCTCCAGCTCAGTTTCGTTCCTCCTCTCAGGGATGTAACGCCGTTCCTTTCGGGCCAAATCAGCACCCGAATCTCTTATGCCAGAGATGGGCAAACACACGTCCACAACCTGGAGGTGCTTGGAAGCCGTTCTTCATTTCCTCACCCCCCACTAAAACTCCCAAAATCCACAGCCTGTACGACGACAACGGTTGTAATCCAACACGCCTAGACGCGCACTTATTGTCCAGACTACAACGCCCATCAACCCTGTCACTGGATCTTCCGGCTGGGGATTATGGGAGGTGTCATGTTTTTTAAAGGAGCTCCGGATATTCTGGCCCAAGAATTTTTTTTTGAAAGTTACCTTTAAATATACAGTTCGCAACAGTCTAATCCTCTTCCCTCCTCCCCCCCCGCGGAAAGAGTTATGGGAGTTGTAGTCGAGAAGTAAAAGCGTCTCTGCGAAATGCCACTCACCCTGCCACCTCTGAAGAGACAGGAAGGGGAGGGTTATTTCCAGTGAAAGCAGCCGCCCCCACTTCCTCTCATTATATTTCCTGCCTCTCTAGGAACCTCAAAACACTGGTTGGTTTTAACCCGTAGAGAGCCAAATGCCAAGCGCCTGGATTTAAATAGAGAAGCAAGCCCTACAGTAGCATTATCATCGATGCTGTATGATCCGCAACACGGAGAGTTAAAGAAAGCGTTAATCTCCATGTTATTAACAGCAGCAAGACAAACGATAGCCAATTTTTTTTTTTACAATTTAGTAAGATTTGGATTATACACTGGGGTCTCTACTTAAGAACTTAATCCGTATTGGAAGGTGGTTCTCAAGTGGAAAAGTTCTTATGTAGAATCTGCATTTCCCACAGGAATGCATTGAAAACCATTTAATCTGTATCTGCTCTTTTCCGTCCATAGAAACTAATGGGAAGCTGCTATTCT